TGACAGACATCAAACCTATAATTTCAAACCTGTAATTTATTGTTTGTTTTTTTCAGTTCATCTATGATGGAGTGATTTATTGGTAAGGCCATCGTCGATTCATGTTAAAGACCCCTGTCTGATACTGAGAGTCGACCCAACAACTGTTCTTGTACAAACCTTCATTTGTCCCTGTGTCTTTTGTGTCTTTTGTGTCTTTTGTGTCGTCTTCAGGTGGGAGAGTCTGGTGTTGGTGCTCATGTACGCTGGATATATTCTGGTCATGAAGTAAGTTTCACACTTGATCAACTGATCCTGTATCTTCAACACTTCTGTTACTCTGCTACTGTGAGAATGTGATTTATGCTGCAAACAGAAGAAAATAAACCGTGTTGTTGAAATATGAACAGAAACAGAACAACCATAACAACAATTAAAAAAAGATCATATAAATAATACTAGGAAATACTACAAAACACTACTTTCTTTATAGTTATTTAGGTTAAACCACAGGTCATTTTACTCTTTATTATCATTCTCTTTTAGTGTCTCTTTAACCATGTAAAACTGATCCAGTTCATTACGGTGGAACGCATCTTTAATTCAACAAAATTTAGTGTTTAATTGGCCAAGTTGTAACTTCTGTACTTGCTTCTCAATGTCGTTAAAACTTTAAATACTAATAAAATAATGTGCCGACATAATTGTCTTCAAATGTTCAATGTGTAAATGTAAATATATTCAATAATGTGAGGTAATTAGAAAAGGGTGTTTTTTATTGGTCGACTGGGTGATGTTAAATTTTTATTACAGTTATTCTGAAAGGAATTAACAAGAAGATATTTTTCTGTCACATCACATTAAAATTCTAACACAGCCAACTATGTAAGACCAGCCATGTCCTCCCGTGCCACCGGCTGCTGATCTGTGTAGCACGACGCAGCAGCAGTGGCAGTACTCTCTCTCTCTCTGCCTCTCTCTCTGCCATTAGAGTTTAATCTCTCTCCCTCTGCAGCAGCTGAGATCACAGGCTTACCCAGATCACTCCACTCCGCCCTCGTCTGTTTGGGAGAAAGTGGTTTCTGTAGGAAACCAGACCAGTGTCAGGTCTCCGTCCTCTCCTAAAAATACCTGCTCACCCCTGTGGGTGGTGTGTGTGTGTCTCCCCACCAGTGATCTGAGGTGACCTTCACTTAGTTTGGCTTTTTCTTTCAAAAGTCACACAGTCAAACTTTGAAATGACAACAATCTGCTGCAGGAATAACTTCTCATATAAATAAAATCAGGAAATCAGTCTCACGGTGCAGGGACGACGTAAACATCATCAGTGTGTAGTACACATAGTACTAGGAATAGTACTAGGAATTACTGATCACATGACACCGACACACCTGTGGTGTAGGCCCGCTCCTCTGTTTGAGAAGCACTGACGCAGCCCACGGGCTGCTCTTTGAATGGGTCAGTCGTGAGTCGTCGTGGTGCGTTCAGGATCCCAGTGGAGTTGAGGACAAAAACAGGGAGGGAGATTTGAAACCACTGCACAGCTCCTCTGATGTTCCACATTATGTTCAAAGCACCGGCTGCAGCAGCAGCTTCCTGAATTTCTGATCAGCTTCGTCTGTGAAGCTCACGGATGAAAAAAAAAAAAAAAGCCTGTGATTTACTCCAGTCGTCATTTAGGACTTTTTTTAAATTCTGCTCCAACACCAAACAATTCCAGTCATTTCTGTTGGCTGTGATAGCACTGGTGCTGATGCAGTGTGTGTGTGTGTGTAGAAAGTGGGCCGCCTCCCCCGTAAACTCGACATGTCAGCACTTTTTCTTGTTTTGGCTATTATTCCAAACCAGTTCAAAGTCTTTCATCCCGCCTCAGTTGTAAACATGTTTTTTTTTTGCCTCCCTCGTCTCACCCGTCCTTTTCACTCCACTATGTCTAACGTAGCCGGGGATTATGTTCCGTCTGTTTACCAGATTCAACTCCAGCATGCAGCGGTTTTTCATGGGGAAGTCCAGCAAGAACGTGGCCAACGGCAACGCGGCGGCCAGCAGTGAGATGGAGGACGGTAATACTAGTTATGACTGTGATTTGGAAGATGACCAGTCAGTGCCGTTACTGTCGGCAGGTAAGGTTAACCAGACAGGCTGGACCATCAGAACTCTTCTCTGCTGCTGATTGACTTTCCTGAGCTGTGAGAGTTTCTCTCTCTGTCGGTGTTTCTTTCTCTCAGTTTGCAGCTTCGACTCTTTTCTGCCTAACTGATGTCAGCGTCTGTAGATTTCATTTACACATACAGTCTATTTTAACATCCAACCAATTGGATGATAATTAATCATTAATTAATAACTAATTCAATATTTTCCTACGTCACTTGTTTTTCTAAAACCTGCTGGACTAATTCAATATTCTCCTACGTCACTTGTTTTTCTAAAACCTTGACTGACTTGAATGTCTGTGATTGGCTAACATTTTGGACCTTAAAATCTATTTCTTGATTTTTCTACATTAAAAAAAACGCTCTCTATTTGTCTCTAACCCAGGAGCAGAAACTAACTCTTCACACCTGTGCTGCCTCAGTGTTAACATGCCTGTCTGTTTAGCCTTACTAAACTTGTCCTGCTTTACTGTCAACAGTGTCGTGCTGCCGCCGCGCGCACTTCTTTCTGCTTACTTCTCTCCTGCTGCCAACCTCTGGGGCGTGGACCCGCTCGGTCCTGAAGTGGTGATGAATTCCAGGAGAGGAAATGTTTACAGCAGCTCTGTTTACACTGTTAATTTTCCATGCGTTTCCTGTTTGCATAATAACTCACATTAATGTACTGCAGATGGTTTTAATGTCTGCTCCCTCTAGGGGGTGTTGTGAGTAAAGTAAATGAGGAGGCCAGTAATATTTTAATTTATTCTTTAAAAAGAAGCGATGGTGAGTTTGATGTCAGGGCGAGGGAACGTCGTACATTATTTTAACGTTAGAAAAACTTCAAAGCTGCTCCGGAGTATGAGAGAATTTCTAAGCACAAAGTAGAAAATCCTGTGAGGACCACGAGTCCTGCAGGGGCTTTCTGCCCCGCGTTTGTCTCATAAAATTGGTATGAAGTTAAATACACAGCTCAATGTGAAAGGAGGACCCCTGTTGGTCAGGAAAGAAATTACATTCCTTAATATAGTGGGTAAGTAGGGTGTGGGGTTGAAATATTAGTGCCAACGCTGCAGCATTGAGCTTCATTTATTTCTTATTTACTTATTCAGTCCAACTCTACCTTTAATAATAGAACAAATATATGACACGGAATTTTGTTTTGCGTTGTTTCCATAAATAGTTGCAAAATGACCTGAAAAAAAAAATGGAATACTTGCAGTCTGGAACTTGCAAACTTTAAATTTCTGCAAAGTAGGAAAAACTTACAAAGAAATTAAAAATGTAAATGGGACATAGAGGACATAATGCCCTAATCTTAATTAACCTAAATATAAGACGTGCAGTGCTTGAAACTCCAAGTTAATGATGACCCTTTGGAATTGGTTTTCCTGGATAAATAATGCTTATTTGTCCTCCATTACTTTTAATCAGAATTGATCAGTGGATTTCTGTTGAGGCAGCAAGTGATAGGAGAGAGAATTAACAGAAGCTGCAGAGGAGCTCTAGGCCGAAAACACTTAGGCATTGATTTAACACATGTTTTTGTATTATTTATACAGATTTTATATGGATTTTAATTTTTTGCAAAGTGTCAATTTTCAGTTTAAACTCTTGTCATGAAAATCCTGAGGGTCCATTTATTCTCGGTAAAAATCTGTAGAACTGACGAGTAAAAATGGACCCTTCACACGTCTCTCTTCATGCCCTCGTCTCTTTAACAGCAGCTCCATTCATCTGGTTAGCTTTTAATTTGCCCTTTAGCTATTGGAAGTAAAATTGATTCACGACTCGCTTCATCATCATCACATTTACAAACCAGCACTTTGACGAAGAACTTCAGCAGCCGCGCAGCTCTTAAATGACGATAAAATGAATCAAACTACTGCCGTTCTGTGTTCTGTGCTCGTGTGACAAGTTCTCCCTCCACCTCCACCAGTGAAACCCACCAAAACTTACAGTCGTGGCTCGGTGGTGATGGTGGACGAAATCATGAACGCCAGCCCGTCCAAGTTCAGGTTTCCGGAGGCTGGGCTTCGCGTCATGGTCACCAGCCACTTTGGACCCAAGACCCGCCTGCGACTG